CTCAAAAAAAAAAAAAAAAAAAAAGATAAAAAAGAGGCTTCCTAAAGCTTTATGGTAAGAAAGTAAGAATTGGATCGAGATTAGACTCTCATCTACATATTCTGAAAATAAGTTACCTGCTGTAAAATGGGATGCCTAGTCCATCCTGGTCCTTGGGCAAAGGTCAGCCGCGCCCTTCCCCTTCCCCAGTCACAGGCAGAATGGGACCCTGTTCCCTGGAGGTTCTCACTGTTAGGCCATGCACTGGGATCCTCCGCCAAACTTTTCATTCCAAGTCTAAGACTTGCCCACAGTTTCACAGTATAAACCTCTATTTGCTACTTAACATGTGAAACAGTTGGATTGCAGTGAGGTTCATTTTACCTTAGACTGACTGAGTGGGAAGGAGCAAGACTGGAATCAAAGCCGCCCTTTTGGTTGAACACTCTACCTAGTTACACTAATGGCTCAACAAGTGGGTTAATAAGTGATGGGGATGGGCATCAGGTCAAAGAGCAGAAGAAAATCTGTCAGCAACTCCAGGTGTGGGGCTTGGGTGAGAGACTTCATTCATTTATTCATTCAGTCCTTTATGAATTCATTAGCACATCATTAGGTAGCACTTACCATACACAGAACTGGCAAATGCAGGAGTCCCAGAGCCTAGGGTTTAGGGGCTACCAGGTGAGTGTTCAGATCCAGGGTTCAGGGCATGGAGGGAGCCAGAAGCTCAGTGCCAGAGCTGTCTTTGGATCAGGGATGGACCTAGGCCCCTGAGAACAGGTCGTCTGTCTGACAATTTGCTTGAGACCATTTGGCCTGACACTCTATAGTAACACTTATCAAGTGAATACATGGCTAATATCATAGGATTACTTCTAGCCTCAGTGAGATCTTTTGCATTTTGCATTCTTTTAGAAGTCTTTGCTTATCCAGACTATTTCTGAACATTTCAAAGATTTTTTTATCCTATTTTTACAAAAGACCCCTGCCTCATTTTGAAATATTTATTCAAATATTTAAAATATTTTATATTAGTTCCATGAATTAAATACGCTGAGCATTTTTATTTCTTCTTTGCTTTATATATATTTTTTTTTTTTTTTTTTTTTTTTTTTTTGAGTTGGAGTCTCACTCTGTCGCCCAGACTGGAGTGCAGTGGCTGCTCCCGGCCACCGCAGCCTCGACCTGCTGGGCTCTGGCGATCCTTCCTTCTCAGCCTTCCAAGTAGCTGGAACTACAGGCGTGCACTACCACATCTGGCCGATTTTTGATTTGTTGTAGAGATGAGGTCTCGCTAAGTTGCCCAGGTGGGTCTCGAACCCGTGGGATCAGGCAATCCACTCACCTCAGCCTCCCAAAGGCGCGGGATTACAGGCTGAACCACCAAGCCTGGCTGTATTTTTTATTTTTATTTTTAATTTTTTTTCAGGAGGAGGTAAGGAAATATAGTAGCAAATTTTGAGGTACTACGAGGATTTGTTAAAATAAACTAGGGCAGACCCAATCCTCTTTTTCCATATTTATTCATTCCCTTTGGCAGTGTGGGGGAGATAACTGTCAAACTGAAATAATGAGATTAGAAAATATGATTAAATGTGGAGTTTGAGGATAGCCACACAGAAGGCATGTATGCAGTCAGCATTCCAAAGTAGAGAAGTTAAGGTTTCACTTATCTAGTCAGCGACAAAGAGATTTTAGAGATTTTCCTGTATTTTCCATACCAGACCAGCTGGTATATTACAACCATTGATTGGTTGTGGATTGCTACATTCCAAGGAAACTTAGTTTATTACTTGGTGAGGAGGGGTGGGAATCTAAGGGAGTCTTACCTCTGGCACTGTCTCCTTCCTAATTATTTACAGAAAAAAAGACAAGTTGCAGCTGCACGCCATGTGATTCAGGCTGCATAGCCACATTGTTCTCAAGGCTCAGAATAATTTAAAGTTCCAAAAACTTTTAACTTGGAATTCTTTGCTCTTGCATAATATAGGTTGAATAAAAGACATTTAGCTCTGATTTTAGTATCCAAATTATAAATTAACTGGGATAGTTAAATAGGAAGAATTGCTACTTTTATATGAATTATTATTCTACTTTTGACCTCATTTTAAAGAAATGTAGATTTCTAAATATTTTTTACAAAATTAATGCATAATCATAAAATAAAAGGGAAACAGTAGGAAAATTAGAAATAGGGAAAACACCTAAAACAATATTGCTTAATGACATTAACTGTTTGCATTACCAGTTTTTACCAAGTGCGTGCTTTTCTTGATATATTTTGCCATTTTACTCTATATAGGTATTTCTCTGAGCTTTCCCATTGGTTTTATACATGAAGCTGCTTTCTTGTTATTTTATAAATTTCTGTGAAATATTTTACCAACAGAATGAGTGGAATATTCTATCTAGAACATGAAACATTTCACTCTGCTCCATCTCTCAGATATCCATTTTGTCCTCCCATGTACATTTTTTGCCATTGACCTTTTACTGCTTTTAACATTTTTTATAAATTAGTTTTCCAGAATCGGAACAACTAGATCAAAAAGAATAATAACATTTAAGGACATTCAACATATTGTAAATAAATGTTGCTTTCTTTCCCTTTATATTGACTTAGCGCGCTTTTGTTACTATTGGTAAAATGAGTTTTTAATACAAAACTCACATCTGTCTGTAGTCTCTTTATGGTCTGATTTTTACAGATTCCTTCTAAGTCCCCTGGTGTTCAGGCTGGTGATGTGTTCAAGGTGAGGCTGTGAAGGCTATTCCTCACTCCACAGATGGAGATTCAGAGTCACTTCCCTATTTCCTCTCTAGACAGCTGTTCCCGTGGTCTCAGAAGGGCCAGGCAAAAGGAGGAAATGCAGAGGATGTTGTTGTCTGAATACAAGGGGATTAATCACTCCATAAGCACTGATTTCCTCGGACAATTTAATTAGAGGCTTTAGACATGCTAGATTATTTTATGTCAAGTCAGAATGTGTATATAGATAAAGTGACTAAAAATCCCATAAAAGCTTAAAATGAAAACACATTAAACGTCCAGAAGCTTCCAAACAACGTCAAAATGGGCTTAATCTTCTATATCCTAGACCAACTGCTTATAAGATCTGTAGTGGGGATAAGGAAGTTAATGAGGGAAAGGGAGAAAAGCAGAAAGAGAAAACCTCACTGTACAACATATGAATCCCTTTCGGTTACCCCCCCCAAAAAAGAAAGAAAGAAATACAATTTAGTTATAAATCCCAGAGGGTTTTAACAGAAATCATTTGATAGCTTAACTTACAGGAACAAAAACATTTATTTCCTATGTCATCAATTAAAGAATTGTTTTCCTGCTAAGTAAATTCTATTCTGAGACATTAATATCCCTGGGTACATCCTAAAATGGATGTGTAAGTCTAGTGTGTCCCATTAGCAATGCCAAGCTCTCAATCCTTTGTTTTTATCAAGTTTTTAGCTCTGGATTTTACAAGACAATTTTTCCAATTTGGGGGACATATTTACACTCCTGTTATGTTGTTTTAGCTATTCAAAGCTTTTGCTTGAAGTTTAGAAATATGTTTTGGGAGCATTGTGGGCCTTAGGCTGCCGTGGGCGAGTCACGGGCAGTCGGGTGGGCAGTCAGTTTCCTGCTGGCCTCTGCCGGGAGGCGGGTGCTGTTGGCGGACTCCGAGTCCCGACCTCTGTGCCTGCGCTTCCCCGATCTCTCATGTGTCCTAGCGCTGTCCATTTCTCCACCCCTGGCACACCGCTCCGTACACAGCAGGTACTCAATAAATGGGGTTTAAATGAAAACAAAAACAAAAACAAAAAAAAGAAATATGTTTTGGATCTGGAGAATGTTATTCAGGAAAGATGCTCAAGAGA